GGGAGTGAAGGCTAAGGCAGAGCTGAAAGCAGGTTGGTTGCTGCTGAAGACACACTTCAACACAGGGTGAACAGCCATGCTGCCTCTGCTGGTCGGAATGTAGACCAAACCTTCCAAAATTTAAAACAGAGCCAGATATGTTATGCATGCCTGTAATCCCATCATTGGAGAACACAAGGCAGGAGAATCATTGCGTTCCATACTAAGACTATCTCAGGTCAGACTTGGTGGGGCAAACCTTTAATGCTAGCACTCAAGAGTCAGAGGCAGGGGAAATCTCTGTGAGTTGGAAACCAACCTGGGCTACATAGTGAGTTCTAGGATTGCCAGGACTACATAGAGAAACCCTGTCTCAAAACAAACAAACAAACAAACAAACAAACCACAAAAAGAAAACCTCTATCTCAAAAACACAAACAGTAAAATGATAATAAAACAGCCAGATGTGCTGGTGCAAACCTATGATCCCAGCACTCCAGAGATGATGGCAGGAGGTTCACAAGTTCAAACCCATCCTGGACTACAATATCGAGATACTCTTTAAGATAATAATAATAATAATAATAATAATAATAATAATAATAATAATAAGGCAGGGGTTACCCAGAGTAGAACTATACCCAGTGCCCACCCCACCACATCCTCATTTCATGCCACTTCTCAGCCCACAAAAGCTACCAAAGGTGTCCTTTGTATGCAATATTTATTTTGAAGCTCTATTTTAATGGCATTTATTTTGCTAAGTTTATTATTCTACGAGTTCTATTTGTGAAGAAGAAAAAAGTTAAAAACAGAAGCAGGCAGCTAAGAGTTGGTGGCCCACACCTTTAATTTTTAATCCTAGCACTTGGGAGGCAGAGGCATGCGCATCTGTGAGTTCCAGGCCAGCCTGGTCTACCCGGCAAGTTCCAGGATAGGCTCCAAAACAACACAGAGAAACTCTGTCTGGGAAAACAAACCAACCAAACCAAACCAAATCAAAACAGAAGCAGGCAAATCTTTGAGTTTGAAGCCAGCCTGGCCAACATAGTGAGTCCCAGGATAGCCAGAGCTACACAGAGAAATTCTGTCTCAAAAAACAAAACAAAACAAAACCCTCACAGTGCACCAAGTCTGATTTCTGAGTCCCGTGTCTATGAAGCCTGTGCTGAAAGTTCTGAACTTTTCCCCCTGAAGTCTATATTCAATGAATAGGACAGTACCTGTATGTACAGGGCCCCCAGCCCCAGTGCCCAGCACAGCCTTGGCATAGAGCTAGCACCCCTGAGTACTACTGTACAAATTTGTGAAATATAGGTCTCCTGAATGTTTGGGACTCTACAGTCTGTGGAAGCCCCCCCCCCAACCCAGCCAATGCTGTCACTCATTGCCCTCCCCAGTGTTCCTTACCAAGACTCACAGTGTTCTGCCCTAAGGATGTCTCTTGGTTTAAAAAGTCAAATGTTTATTAAGTATAATTGAGGAAGCAGTTGAAGTGCATGCCCCACCCCCACTTCTGCCTCCACAAACACTAGGTGCCTTTAGTATACAGTGGCTGGTGTTGGACAAGCCTTCTGCGTCAATGTGTGCGACTGTGTGTAGATAAGATGCTTCCATCCTAGGGGCAAGTGAGGAAACAGCAGCGCGGAAAAGGCAATAATTTAAATATCAGACACTACACCCCCTGCAGGTACCATCATGAGAGGTGCTGCTGGTAAAAATCAGTACCAGTCTTGGATGGCAACCACCCCCGCACTATACTTCTTAGGAGAAAGAAAAATGGAGCCTCTGCCAATTCCGCGGCGCGTTTTGAAGGTTGGACTAAGAACCCACCGAAAACACGGTCAGTCCAGAGTGGAGAACTCGGAATCGGACCCCAGGTTTCTTCACTTCACTGTTCAGGACAGGCAGGATGTGGAAAATTAAGAAGCCTTGTCCCCTATAAAACATGACCGACGAGGATGGGATTCGAACCCACGCGTGCAAAGCACAATGGATTAGCAGTCCATCGCCTTAACCACTCGGCCACCTCGTCCCATACGTGCTACCCTTCCACATTCCCATATCTCTCATCTCACGCGCACTTCCTGCACGCTTCCATTCACGTTCCTAGTACCCACCTGGAAAAGTTCATCGGGAGAAGAAATGATAACTAAGAGTTTTTAAAATTTCCTCTCGGAGGGCTTCAGCTAAGAACCGCGCCATCATTGACTGAGCCGCAACTGAGCTCTGCACGGGTTCCTCTCCCCGCGGCCCAGCAACGCACTGGGGTTTCAGGTCGCGCTTGGTCCGGGGGTTTGCGTCCGGATCCCGAGGGAGAGATGCACGTCCAGGGGTCTGCGGCCTCACGATTAAATTCGGCGTTTACAAAGCGCGCGCCGAACAGCCGCGGCTGCAGTAGCTCCTCCTCTCTCACAGAGGGCGAGCTGGCACGCACCTAGATCGAGGCGAGCGGACGCGGGGCGGGGATGAGAGCTAGGCTCGGCTGGCCTCGGCTGGACTCGGCTGCGCTCGGCAGGCTGCGGTAAATCTGGGCTTGCGGTGGCTGGCGGAGGCTACGGCCGGGTAGTCCCCGCATCGCGCCGGGAGCCCGGAGAGCCATGCAAATGTCCTACGCCATCCGATGCGCCTTCTACCAGCTGCTGCTGGCCGCTCTCATGTTGGTAGCAATGCTGCAGCTGCTCTACCTTTCGCTGCTCTCCGGACTGCACGGGCAGGAGGAGCAGGAACAGTATTTAGAGTTCTTCCCGCCGTCCCCGCGATCCGTGGACCAGGTAAAGTCTCAACTCCGCACCGCGCTGGCCTCCGGAGGCGTTCTGGATGCCAGCGGCGATTATCGAGTCTACAGGGGTCTCCTGAAGACCACCATGGACCCCAACGATGTCATCTTAGCTACGCATGCCAGCGTGGACAACCTCCTGCACCTGTCCGGACTTCTGGAGCGCTGGGAGGGCCCACTGTCTGTATCAGTGTTCGCGGCCACTAAAGAGGAGGCGCAGATGGCCACAGTGCTGGCCTACGCGCTGAGTAGCCACTGCCCTGAGATGCGCGCCAGGGTCGCCATGCACCTCGTGTGCCCCTCACGTTATGAGGCTGCTGTGCCCGACCCTCGAGAACCTGGCGAGTTTGCCCTGCTGCGGTCCTGCCAGGAGGTCTTTGACAAGCTAGCCAGGGTTGCCCAGCCCGGGATTAATTATTCCCTGGGCACTAACATCTCCTACCCCAATAACCTCTTAAGGAATCTGGCTCGAGAGGAGGCCAACTATGCCCTGGTGATTGATGTGGACATGGTGCCCAGCGAGGGCCTGTGGAGAGGCCTGAGGGAATTGTTGGATCAGAGTAACCACTGGGATGGCATGGCCCTGGTGGTGCCCGCGTTTGAAATCCGCCGGGCCCGCCGGATGCCGATGAACAGGAATGAGCTAGTGCGGCTCTATCAGGTGGGCGAAGTCCGGCCCTTCTATTATGGGCTGTGCACACCTTGTCATGCGCCCACCAACTACTCCCGCTGGGTCAACCTGCCAGAAGAGAGCTTGCTGAGACCTGCCTACAGGGTGCCCTGGCGGGACCCCTGGGAACCGTTTTATGTGGCTGGAGGGAAGGTGCCCGCCTTTGATGAGCGCTTTCGGCAGTACGGCTTCAATCGAATCAGCCAGGTGCCTAAAGGGAGAGGGCGGGTGGGGGCTGGAGGAGGGCAGGGACAGAGTGGACATTGATAGAAAGGAGGCCATGAAGCAAGAGGAGAGTGACTGGCTGGCTGGCGTAGAATTCCCAAGAGGGAGGCGGGGTGAAGCTTTAGGGGTGACTATTTGGGCCCTGGGGATGTCATTAAATTATTTCTCATTCTCTCTCTCTCTCTCTCTCTCTCTCTCTCTCTCTCTCTCTCTCTCTCTCTCTCTCTCTCTCTCTCTCTCTGTGTGTGTGTGTCTCTCTCTCTGTCTCTCTCTGTCTCTGTCTCTTTCTCCCTCTCTCTCTTTCATCTTCTCTCTCCAGGCCTGTGAGCTGCACGTGGCAGGATTTAATTTTGAGGTGCTGAACGAAGGCTTTTTGGTTCATAAGGGCTTCAAAGAAGCATTGAAGTTCCATCCCCAAAAGGAGGCTGAAAACCAACGCAATAAGATCCTTTACCGCCAGTTCAAACAGGAGTTGAAGGCTAAGTACCCCAACTCTCTCCATCGATGCTGAGTCCTTTCTTCCCCTGGTTTGAGAATTTTCATCCTCTGTCCCCTCAGGCCTGACTGGGGGAAGACACATCGCTCCACTCTACAGAGGCAGCTGTGATTTTGGAACACTGGACTTGACTATGTGGTGCTGGGATCAAGTCCTAGCTTTACCACTAACTAGCTGTGTGGCCTTGAACAAATCCTTTTACCTCTCTGAGCCTCCAATACCCCGTCTGTAAAAAGGGAGGTGAAAATACCTACCTCGCAGAACTGCTGGCTCAGATGAGGTGCTGTATGTGGAAACAGCCTGTAAACTTGGTACAAACGTGGTTTTATTACTATTATATCAGTGTTATTATTGTTAGTATTATATTGTTATTATTAACAATGTTGGGTGGCTTGCCGCAGAGCAAGAAGTATGAATGGAATAAATCTGAGAATCCTGAGTACTTAATGAGCCTTTTGGAAAGAAAGATGAAAACATAGAATGTATTGCTCAGTCTGGGGTAGAGCTTAAGCTTCCTGGTTCTCTCACACCTTGGCTTCCAGCTCCCTGAAGGAGCGAGGGTCTGTAGGCCCTGGGGGTTAAACTCTCAGCTCTGTGCCCTTCAGTAGGTTGGGCTGCGCGTTTGCCTTCAGATGAGTGTAAATAAACGAGTGCTCAGATCCACAGCTGGCTCAGTTACTCTCCCGAGCTGAGGAGTTGTGGGTGGGAGCATCGTGTTATCTGCGGTGGACTCAAGGGCACAGACCACAAAGCTGGGGCCGGCTGGAGGCCTGGGAGACTGTGGGCCGGTTGCTATGGAGACCCGCCCGCGGTATCCCGGCATGCCTGAGCACCAGTGGCTCAATTGTAAACTTCGCAACGGGCGCCTTCTGATGACGCACACGGAAGCGTCGGCACCTCCTGGAGAAAGAGGGACCTTCGCAGCTCATTCCCGGAGGCCTACGGCGGTGGCGTTTACAGCCTGGGTCCGACAGCTCTCGGAAAGTCTCGGTCGTGAGGCCGGAGGCCCCAGCCCCTACGGTGCGTATGGTCACGCCTGGCGCTGCATTGGGCTTCCCGGGTGGGAGCCAAAGCAGAGACTTAACCGGTCCGGCTCTAGTGCTGGCCTTAGACGAGCCGCGGTTCCCTGGCCAGCCCGGTGAATCCGAGGGTGGATCGCGGCTGGATGCTCCCGGAGCGCCGCAGTGAGTTTGTTCTCTGCGTCTGTAGGGAGGGGTATCCCTTTCCTTGGAGGCTTGCTGTGGAGGTGCTTATAGCTCTGTAAAGAGAAACCGCATGTGCACTGCGCTTTACAGTGCGCCTCTTCACTTCTTACAACCGTCAGCGGTGGTGTATCCCCTGTTTGTTGTACCTGGGTTAAAACGAGACGGTTGGGACTTCATTTAACGAAGTCAGGATCAGAGTCAGCTGGAGGAAGGAGGTCTTTAAGACTCGTGCTGCGTCTTAGAAAGTACATATACAAACTGGTGAAAAGGAATTGCCAGCACGGGAACCTGAGGCCTGAGAAGGGGAACAGTCAGGCAGTTTTAGGGACCTGGGTTTTCAAAGCAGGAGGAAATGCTACTAAACTCTCCTGCAGGTTCATTGTTATAATTAGTTGAGTCGGTGGTCACCAGTTTAAGTAGTGTTACCAGGAAGAGAAGTAAAAGTCAATTCCTGCACCGCGAAAGTTTATTTTGTTTACTTTGTGTTTAGAAATCTCCAGTCATCCGGTGAGCTGGCACTGGGTGAATAAGACAGTAGTACAGCCCCTGCCCTGGTGAGACTCCCTCATTCACTGGGTGGATGGACATGAAAATGACAGACTAGGAGATGGAAACCAAGAAGGCTGGGGGAGGGGGCTACCCCACTATAGCTGGAGACGTAGGAGTAACAGCAGCATGAAATAGAAGCTCCCACTTGACAGAGAGAGCATCTGCATCCAGAATGGCTCGTTTTCTCAGGTGATCAATCTATTTCTGCAGAGGTTTCTCCCCTACCTCTTTGGTTGACCTTGGGAGTTCCATGACAGACTTCTTCTCGAATTTCTGCCTGACCAGTCACTACACGAAGCCTAAACCACTTGCCATAGTAGGTAACAGAGTTCCTGAAGCCTGGATCTAGTGGGAGCTTACATGCCCATGTCATTGGTCCCTTTTCGCATTTCTTTCTTTTTTTTTTTTTTTTTTTTTTTTTTTGGTTTTTACGAGACAGGGTTTCTCTGGAGTGTTTTGGAGGCTATCGGTCCAGCCCGGCCTCGAACTCACAGAGATCCGCCTGCCTCTGCCTCCCGAGTGCTGGGATTAAAGGCGTGCGCCACCACCGCCCGGCCCCTTTTCGCATTTCTGAGTCTTTGTACTTGCTCTTCACTCTGCCAGAAATGATCCCTCTCTTGTCTGCCCCGTCCTCACCTAGTCTATCTTCCTCTGGAAGCTGTTACTGCTGCAGCAAGCCCCAGATCCTGTCTAGACGCCTTTCCCATAACACCCTAGTTTTGACTCTCTTCACACCATTATAAGGCTTCTTTGCCTTCTCTCCCAGGAACTTGTCATTTCCTTGAGGCCAGAGACTGTCTGTCACAACTACACTCTAGCATCTACCACAGTGACTGTTGGTACCTGGCATATATTAGGTGCTTAGTAAATATTAGATAAGGGGGCGGGGTGTGGGAAGGGAAGGCTTAGCAGTGTTTAATGTTTCTGAAAGGCCATCTAAGGCAAGCACTGAAAAACGCTGGCATTTGCTACAAGGAAGTTGCTGTGTAATTCTGCCAGAGTAGCTTCAGTGTGAGTGCTGGGTACCCAAACATTGAAGGAGTAGGAGGTGAAAATCGGGACGAAAGTATGCACGAGGCCTGGGGAACTATAGAAGTTAAGTAAACTGGGCCAAGTTTCATTTATTTATTCACTTACTGGCTTACTTATTGGGGGTTTTTGACATAGCCTCACCAGCTATTGCCAACCTGAAACTCACTCTGTATACCAGGATGGCCTTGAATTTGTAGTAATCCTCCTGCTTCTGCCTCCTGAGTGCTACAATAACAGGCCTATACCACCACAGCTGGCTTTATTTTTTTAATTGTATTTGTTCTTCCACAGGGCAGAGAATCTAGTCCAGCTGACTCTGTAAGCAGCAACTCTACCACTGAACACACCTCCAGACATGCTTTTGTTTTTGTTTTAAGACAGAGTGTCACTATCTAACCCAGGATGGTCTGGAATTACAGACCTCTTGCATCAGCCTCTGGTTGGGGGTACATATGTGTATCACATCAGGCTCTCTCTTATTTTTTTTCCTTTCTAGTCCTGGGAATTGAGCCCAAAAACCTCATACATGCTAGCAACCTGCTCAAACTTCTCTCCTTTTATTTTTTTCTGAGCTTTTGTTTTGTTTGTGGTTTTGTTGTTTTGTTTTTCCGAGATGGGGTTTCTCTAGATAGTCTTGGCTGTCCTGAAACTCATCTGTAGGCCAGGCTGGCCTTGAACTCACAGAGACTCACCTGCCTCTGCCTCCCGAGTGCCAGGATTAAAGGTGTGCGCCACCATCCAGCTCTGCTTTTTCTTAATGCTAGGAAAAATCTGAGCACATCTGAACTTGCACATAGGAATGCACTTTCTGTCCAAGTCCTTAAGAAATTCTGGGGGCTTTGGGTAGTTAGGGCTCCACATTTATGAAAACCAAGTTCAAACCGCAGTCTTTGACCAAAACAAAATAAAAACCTGAGACTGAGTCATTTATATAGAACAGAGATTTAGCTGAGTGTGGTGGTGAGAGCCTGTAACCCTGTGATGTCAGCCGTTTGGGAGGTGAAGTGAGGGGTTCTACTGGTTTGAGGTCAGCTTGGGCAACTTAGGGAGACTGATTCTCACAAAAGGCTGGGGACATAGTTCAGTAGTAAAATGCTATCTTTCCCAGCACTCATGAAGCAGAGGTAGACAGATCTCTGTGAGTTCAAGACCATGTTTTAGGACAACCAGGGCTGTTATACAGAAAAACCCTGTCTCCAAAACAAACAAACAAACAAAAAAATCAAAACAAGGCTGGGCGGTGGTGGCGCACACCTTTAATCCCAGCACTCGGGAGGCAGAGGCAGGCGGATCTCTGTGAGTTCGAGACCAGCCTGGACTACCAAGTGAGTTCCAGGACAGCCTCCAAAGCCACAGAGAAACCCTGTCTCGAAAAAAAAAAAAAAAATCAAAACAAAACCAAAAAATTTTTTTAAAGAATCTGAATTTAGCAGGTGGAGTTCAAAGCCAGGTTGGTATGTACAGAGTGAGATCCAGGGAAGCCAGGGCTTCACAGAGAAACCCTGTCTTGAAAAAAACAAACCAAAAAGAATCGGGGTTTAATCCCCAGCATCAGACATTTTTAAAGATGATGTTGGTGTTCCTAGGGAGATGGCTCAGCAATTAAGATCACTGGCTGGCCGGGCGTTGGTGGCGCACGCCTTTAATCCCAGCACTGGGGAGGCAGAGGCAGGAGGATCTCTGTGAGTTCGAGGCCATCCTGGTCTACAAAGTGAGTTCCAGGACAGCCTCCAAAACAATACAGAGAAACCCTGTCTCGAAAAAAAAAAAAAACCTTCCAATATGGGCCAAAAAGGAGGAGCTGAAGATACGCAGGGAGAAGGAAACACTGGGGGCTGAAGATGCAGATGATAGGATTTGATCTAGAACACAGGGAAAGGCTGGAGAATTATGAGACTACTGGGAAGAAAAACTGAGCACATTGTAGGCAATTGCATGGACAAAGAAATGAGGCAGGAGTGTGAGAACTGGTCTATAGTGGGGTGAAGGAGTTAGACATATAGTTCAAGTCCAGTCCACAAAGGGTCTTGTAGGACCCACTCAGAAGCTTGGGTCCAGTCCCATCAGCAGTGGAAATCCTTTCCTGTTGCGACGCCATACCCTTGGCCAACATTCCCAAGCACCCTAGGATTCTGTAGGTCTATAAAGTATACGTTCAGTGTGGTGACAACAGTCACTTCCCCTTATTTCTTTCAAGGCTTATATTTGGCCAACTCCCAGTTTGACTGCTGATAGTGGACAGTGGTGAGTGACGGCCCAGATGCCCATCCAGCCTCCAGGCAAAGAGGCAGAAGAGATGGAGGCGGAAGGCGACTCAGCAGCTGAGATGAATGGAGAGGCGGACGAGAGTGAGGAGGAACGGAGCGGCAGCCAGACAGAGTCAGAGGAGGAGAGCTCAGGTGAGCCCCGCAATGAGTGGCACACACAAAAGCAGCAGCTTGCCCCTGCAGCACCAACACTAATTGGCCCCTCTCTCTCTCAGAGATGGATGACGAAGATTATGAGCGGCGCCGCAGTGAGTGTGTCAGTGAGATGCTGGACCTGGAAAAGCAGTTTTCAGAGCTGAAAGAGAAGTGAGCTTGGAAGTCTTGGGGTGGGCCTTTGGGCAACTGGGGTGCAGGTACCCATAATAAGGAGAATCGAGGGGGCGTAAGGGGAGCAGGTGTTTGCCAAGCACTCACCTGAGGACAGGTGATCGCTGGAGAAGCCAGGGATACAGCTGTCTTTTTAATTCCAGATTGTTCCGGGAGCGGTTGAGCCAGCTGCGTTTACGACTGGAGGAAGTGGGGGCTGAGAGAGCCCCAGAATATACAGAGCCTCTAGGAGGGCTGCAGCAGAGCCTGAAGATCCGAATCCAGGTGGCAGGTCTGTAGCTGCCCTTTCCTCCCAGAACCATAGCTTTCTGTCACCTGCCCTGACTCCCTTTTCTTGTGGATCTCCTTTTGGGGGATATTAGGGCCCCTAGCCAAGCAGATCTCCTCTCCCTCTTTGCAGGAATCTACAAGGGCTTCTGTCTGGATGTGATCAGGAATAAATATGAGTGTGAACTCCAGGGAGCCAAACAGCACCTAGAGGTGAGCTGGCAAGTGGGCTTCTGGGAGGGAGGCTGAGGTCCAGCCATTCCCCTGGCTGAGTAGCTCTCCCCTCCCAGAGTGAGAAGCTGCTGCTGTATGACACACTCCTTGGGGAGCTGCAGGAGCGGATCCAGAGGCTGGAGGAGGACCGCCAGAGCCTAGACATCAGCTCTGGTGAGGCGAGGGCCCAATCCTGCAGTACCTCCCCACCCCTGGAGCTCAGCTTCCCAGGCTGCACAAGGGGAGTCAAACAACCCACTTCTTGGGGTCCCTGTGAGGACGGAATGAGTCTTCAGGAAAGGGTCTAGCTCAGTATTCCACATATAGTGGGGACTCAAGCAGATTGGCTTAAAATGGGGGTTATCCAGCTGACACATGGATGCATATAAAAAAACATAGTCCTCTCCATAATGGTGGCATCTGTGTTCACATGGGGTTCAGGAATTACCTTCATCCTGTCTACTAAGCAAATGGAAAAACTGGGACTTAATCACGAAGGGCAGTGTCATTTTCGCAGACTTGCACCGATGTGCAGTAAGGACCTGAGTTGTCCCAAGAGGCCACCAGCCTCAAGCCTAAGGTTGGGGCCACTGCTCTGGTGGTGATGGGGAGAGGAGGGGAGGCCAGGCTGGTCCATGGTGAAGCCACAGGGATGGTGGGGGTTACCTGTGGGTCCCTGTCCTGATCCTGACTCTGAGTCTCTGGGCACAGAGTGGTGGGATGACAAACTGCACGCCAGAGGCAGCTCAAAGACCTGGGACTCACTGCCACCCAGCAAGAGGAAGAAGGCACCCCTCGTTTCTGGTATCCTTCCGCTCAAGTCGCCTGAAACTGGGCAGGACAAGGCAGGCCCAGGGCTCAGGGAAGTGAGATTGTGTGGGACAGAGTCAAACTAGAATCATTTATGGTCATTTGGTGTCACATGAAATGTCCAGCTTTCAGGATTTTCTTTTGTATCCCAGGTCCTCTGGAGCTCAGTGGACCCCAGAGAAACAGAAAACTAAGCTCACTGACTCCTAGTCATTTCCTGAGAAAGGATCAGCCTGTGAAGTCTTCTGTCTTTCCCTCGATGTCCTGGTGTTGGCCCCATGCTGTCTCAGGCCTTGCTCAACTCTTCTGGGACTATTGCTTGTCTGCACAGTGGTGTCTTGTCAGATGCTGTGTCCTCTGAGGTCCCTCCTGGCCTCCAGCCCCCAGCCCTACGCATGTGTTCTCTTCTGTGTTGAGCAGTGAGACAGGGAACTCACTGTCTTTGACCCTCCTGTGCTACACAGAACAGCACTGGGCTGAGGTCTTCTACATCCAAGTGTCAGCCCTGGGACTACCTCAGGATAGAGGTGGAGTGGAGATTTTATTGAGCCATTATGGGTAAAAGTAGATTTCAGATCAGAGCACAGTGTGCTATCAGGAGGGAAGAGTCCAGGATCCACATTTAGATGAGGAAGGGTCCAGTGAGCCAGTTCCTGACAGAGCCAGACAAGGCGGCAGGAGCAGGACCCCTTAGGATGGGATGAGACTTGGTCAGCTGATCTGGAAAAACTGTGTGAGGGGGATGGGTAAGGTTTCATGCCCAACACAGTCCCCACACTCACCAAGAACTAGTGTCCCTGAGGCAGGTGGTGGAGCTTGGGATTAAGCCCAGGGTCTATTTTTTCCCCCACTTTTTAAATTTAAATTAGAAACAAGCTTGCTTTGCATGTCAATCCCAGCTCCCTCCCTCTCTCCTCCTCCCCTGCCCCCACCAACCCTCCATGTCATCCCCCCTCCTCTCTCCCCAGGCAGAGAGGCCCTTCATGGGGGATCTCCAAAGTCTGTCATATCATCCCGGACAGGGCCTAGGCCCTCCCCCATGTGTCCAGGCTGAGAGAGCCTCCCTCCATGTGGAATATAAGCCCAGGGTCTTACTGAGTGTAAAGGCACATGCCTTTAATCCCAGTACTCAGGAGGCAGAGGTGGGCAGCTCTGAGAGTTCCAGGCCAGCCAAGGCTACATAGAGAGATTATGTCTCAAAAAATAAGGCTTTTGTCACCCCTCCACACCACCCATGTACCACCTCCCCTAAGCAGGAGGTGGGTGGTGCTGCCACCTGTGGAGCCTTGTCCCATTCTCCTGTTGTCATCCTCTTTCCTTGACCCCTGTGCAGGCCCATACATCGTATACATGCTGCAGGAGATCGATATCCTGGAAGACTGGACAGCTATCAAAAAGGTAGGTCCATTACTGCCTGTTCCCCCCGTCCTGCTCTGCCACACACCCACCCCTCAAACCCACCCCTCACACACTCATGCCAGCTCTGGTATCTGAGAGTATTTAGTTCTCTGCCTGCCCCTGAGCAAACATCTGCCTCAGCCCTGGTACCAACTTTGTGGTAGCTTGTTTGTAGTCCTCCTGCCTAGACTGACCTGAGGAAAGGGTGTGTTCTGGTTAGCCCTCGGTCCTGGCAGCTTTGATGGAGAGGGAAGCTGCTAGACTGGCCCCTGAGAAAAGAGGCCCCGGAGCTTGGTGTAGGAAGTTTTTTATATTTCATGCAATTTGACTCAGCAGCTTTCACCCTGGGCTGTGGGGAGGCAGTGTCAGCAAGTTAAAGCAGACCCTAAAGGGCCCTGTCTTCTCTCCACCCAGGCCAGGGCAGCAGTGTCCCCTCAGAAGAGAAAAGCAGATGGTAAGAACCAAAGAGGTGGCCCTGTCAGAATCCACAGCTTCATCTCACGATGAGGGTTTTGTGGGGATTTGGGGAATAGGAACCAGGCTGGGAAAGCTCTTAGCATGGAACAAGGATTTGCAAAGGTAGAATGGGGGGCCCAGTGGAGAGTGCTTGCCCCAACACCACAGAAGAAAGGTGGACTGGAGCCAGCCCGCAGCAGGGGCGGGACAGAGAGGGCAGGGAAAAGAAGCCCTGTGGGTGAGGGGAGCATGGCATGTCCCTCGGGGCCTCGGGGAGTGGTTGTTCTCTTGATTCACCTTTTAGTTTTCCCATTGCCCCTAGGACCCTGACCCTGCATCTCTACTCAGAGGGTCCTTGGAGCAGCTGGCACCACACACAGGACTAACATTTTTCTGCTAAGGCGGGGGTTGCCTAGTAGCTCTCCAGTGTTACTGCTATCCCCTGACCAACACTGGCCTGGACTCCTCCACTCTCCTTGGGATTTGCATAACTGTGACCCTGAAGCTGACCTGGCCAAGCAAGACTCCATCCCTGCCCACCCCCCACCCCCGTAGAGAATAACTTCCTCAGTGTCCCCCCAATAAAGATGGGCTTCATACAAAACAGCAACCCTCCTGATTTTGAACCCTGCCCCCCCACCCCCAACCACTGAGCCGGGCGCCACTGCAGGAGGAACTGGAGCCAGAAACATGTTGGGGTCTTGCCCGTCCTAGCTGTCGCTGGAGATGGCAGCTTCCCAGACTTTCTCAGGGCCATTCCTGGTGTCTGCCTCCCAGATTCTAAAGAGTGGAATAAAACTCATCCTGGGACCTTGATGTGGCTGATGTGTCTGCTGTTCTCCTAAAGGGAATCGGGGCTCTTGTGGGGAACACCTGGGACAGACTCTTCTGGAGTCCCTGTCATTTGGGACATTGTGACTTAGAAAAGAGCCTGGCCCAGAGCTGGAGGCTACACGTGGCACAGGCAAACGAGTGAGCGCATGGCCTGGGTGGAGAAGAGGCTGTTCCACGTGCCTGGAGGCCAGGTCATGTCTGCACCTGCCCCAGTCACTTGGCAGATTGGCAAGGCAGGCCTGTGTGTGGGAGGCAGCTAGCAGCAGCACCATGTGCTGACGACCTCACAGCCACACTCCCCCCTGGTTAGCAGTGAGTGTCAGAACCACCCCCAGAGCCTCAGTTAAGCAAAGGGTTTAGTTTCCATGGAGACACAGCATCCTTTCTCCATAGCAACCTGAAATCACAAAACCCAAGTTAGGTTCAGGAATGAGTCATCTGTGACCAGTAGGGGGTGCTCTCCCACAAGGCTGACCCCCTCCAAGGCAGGAGCCGATGAACAAGTGACCGCAGACTTCTTGAGGTGACACAGGGGTGAGGCTTGGGCCTCTGGGAACTTGGTCTGCCCTCCTTAACTCCTCCCTACCCAGCTGCATAGTGTGAGCAGGCTGTGTGTGAGGAAGTGCTGTATGGAGGTGGTCCCCTCACAGCTGAGGCCCTGATATAGTGACACTAACATGGAGGGGGCCCCTGCCCTGCAAGGCTGGGCCCAGAATAGAAGAAGTGGACACTGGCCACATGGAGTGGGCATACAAGAGTTAACTGGAGGGGTGTGACAGGGTGAACCGCCTTCAGGAAGTGTTACTCACCACCGCCAGGAATGTGCACGCCTGTGCCTTGGGGGTTGGATTCTCTTCCTGAGTCCCAGGAGAAGCTGAAGGAGCTCCCAGTCATGGAAGACCCTGGGGAGACAGGAGCACACCCTTTGGGAGCTGCCAACCTGAACTTTGTTCCTGGACACCAACAGAAAGAAAAGTTAGTGAAGTTGGGAGGGCAGTGACAGAGGGTCTGGCAAAGACAGGGTAGGTGGGAGCCCCGAACCCAACTGCTGCTCAGGTCTGGGTGTGTGCCCCCAGGCCATCTCCAGACCCTCTGTATGACACGCCTGAAGCCGGCGGGGCACCGGCAGGTGGGTCCCAACCACCAGCACGCACTGTGAGCCTGCGGGAACGGCTGCTGATCACCCGGCCGGTGTGGTTACAGCTGCGGGCGAACGCGGCAGCCGCACTGCACGTGCTGAGGACAGAGCCTCCAGGGGTGAGTCTTTCCCTTCCTCCAGGACTGGCCCGCCAAGGGTGGGAGAGAAAGGGCCTGGACATGGAGCCTCCTAACCCTGTCCACTTGCAGACCTTCCTGGTACGGAAATCTAACACTCACCAGTGTCGGGCTCTGTGTGTGCGGCTGCCAGAAGCCAGTGGCCCCTCCTTTGTCTCCAGCCACTATATCCAAGAGAGCCCTGGCGGTGAGGGGGCTGGCCTGGCGGGAAGGGGCTGGAGACAGGCGGGGGAGGGAGGTCCCCAGAGAGCAGCCTCACTCCCAGTGTCTCTCAGGCATCTCTTTGGAGGGTTCAGAGCTCATATTCCAGGACCTGGTTCAGCTCATATGTGCATATTGCCATACCAGGTGAGTCTGCCCACCTGCCCGCCCGTCCACCTGCCGGGTGGGTGCCTGATGACCGCATGCCCTGCTCCCTGGTGTTGCCCCACCCCCCACCCCCACCCCCCCACCTCCGCACCTGAATACCACTTGCTCTTGACTGCTCCTTGTTCTGACCCTAGGGACATTCTTCTCCTCCCACTCCGGCTCCCCAGAGCCATTCATCAGGCAGCCACCCACAAGGAGCTAGAGGCGATCTCCCATTTGGGCATGGGTAAGGGTTCCTTGCAGCCCATTGTACAGATGGACACATAGAGACCAAATGGGGGAAGAAAGGGCAATCAAACTTTTTCTTTGTGGGCACCCTCCTGAGCCAGCTCTGAGGCTCCCATTGGTTTCTGATTGCTAGAGTTCTGGAGTTCCTCCCTTAACGCCAAGGTTCAGCAGAGGCCTAGTGAAGCCCCACCGATACCCAAGCTGAAGGCTCGCTCCCCTCAAGAGCTGGACCAGGGCACTGGTGCAGCCCTCTGCTTCTTCAACCCCCTCTTCCCAGGGGATCTGGGCCCCACCAAACGTGAGAAATTCAAGAGGAGTTTTAAAGTGCGTGTGTCCACAGAGACCTCCAGCCCCCTGTCTCCACCCGCTGTACCGCCTCCCCCAGTCCCAGTGCTGCCCGGGACTTCTTCCAGCCAAACAGAAAGGCTGCCTCCTCGACAGCTGCTGCAGAGGGAGAGCTCAGTGGGGTATCGTGTGCCAGGGACTGCTTCCGGCCCGAGTCTCCCTCCCCTACCTTCACTTCAGGAGGCGGACTGCGGCTCCCCCAGCAGCTCGGAGGAGGAGGGTTCTCCAGGAAGCTCTACAACCTCCCCGCGCCTGGGCCGCCCAAGGCAGCGGCGGCCTTTGCTTCGGTCCATGAGTTCTGCCTTCTGCTCTCTGCTGGCACCAGAGAGGCAGGTGGGCCGGGCAGCCACAATGCTAATGCAAAACCGATATACAGCTGTGGGTCAGCTAGTGCAGGACCTACTGACCCAGGTTCGTGCTGGTCCTGAGCCCCGGGAGTTGCAGGGCATCCGCCAGGCCCTAAGCCGGGCCCGGGCCATGCTCAGTGCAGAGCTGGGTCCTGAGAAGCTGCTACCACCGGAGAGGCTTGGTAAGGCCCCAGCCCTGGCCTCCACAGGTTCAGTTCCTGGCTCTCCGTCCTCCCTCATCCACCTCTCTCCTTGCCTTGGTGCCTAATGATGTACTCCTAGTTTCCCTGCACCCCCTTCCCCCACTACTTTTGCAGTGAATCCCATCCCCCACCCCTCCCCTACCTCCTGTCTTGACCAGGGCCTCCTGCTCTTCCAGGCCCCTTTGGGCTGACTGTCTGCTCTCCTCTGACAGAACTGGTCCTGGAGAAGTCCTTGCATCGCTCTGTTCTCAAGCCTCTTCGACCTCTTCTAGCTGCCCGCCTGTGGCGCCGTCTTTCCTCAGATGGTTCCCTTGGCCGCCTAGCAGAGGGCTTCCACCTGGCCCGGACCCAGGGACCTGGAGCCTTTGGGTCCCACCTGTGCCTCTCCTACCCAGTGGAGACAGAGCAGGTGCGCCAGAAACTGCTTCAGCTGCTTGGCACCTATTCACCGAGCGCCCAGATCAAGCGGCTCCTGCAGGCCTGCAAGCTGCTCTACACAGCCCTGCAAGCCCAGGCGGGTATGACCCTCACCACCTTCCCTGCTGCCGCTCTTTCTGAGGAGAGACTGAGCCCCCTCTCAGAGGAGGTCCCAGGCCCCCAGAAATGCAAAGAGGGCAGAAGGATCCAACCCCCCCCCTCGTCTCAGGATCTCTAGAAAGTAGAGTGTCTTTCTTCCCTGTGAGTCTAGGGGTCTGGCAGGTGCAGGGGAGGAGTCGCTGTCTAGGTCGGGGGTTGGACCTCTGAGGAGGCTGGAACTCCCTCCTTCCCATTTTTCCACAGGGGAGGATGCAGGTGCTGATGAGTTCCTGCCTCTACTGAGCCTCGTCTTGGCTCAATGTGACCTTCCTGACCTCCTGTTAGAAGCTGAGTACATGTCGGAGCTACTGGAACCTACCCTGCTCACCGGAGAGGGTGAGGGTCCCCTCACTTCCTGTCTAGGTGGAACTGAGGCTTCTTAGTTGCTAGTAGGTCCTGAGCAAGTAAGGAAGGCAGGGCGCCTTATCCAGACTGAGCTGCATTCTATGTGCCCTGTTTCCTAGGCGGCTACTACCTGACCAGCCTCTCCGCCAGCTTGGCCTTGTTGAGTGGCCTGAGCCAGGCCCGCGCTCTCCCACTCAGCCCAGCACAGGAGCTCCAGCGCTCTCTGGCCCTCTGGGAGCAGCGCCGCCTGCCGGCCACCCACAACTTCCAGGTAAAGGGCCTTTCCTTGTCTACTCCAAACTGGCTTGATCAGAGAGGCTCTGACGTCACCCAGCACAGGTCCTCTAGTCCCGCATCAGCCTCCGATAGAAACAGGTGCCCGTCTAAGCAGCCCTCGCAGGGAATGTGCTTCCTGGAGCAGGCACTGGGCTTTGAGCTCCAGGGTAGCCTGCTTGAATATTCACAGAAACTCTGAAGTAGAGCATTGTTTGACCCATTTTACAGTAAGGAGGTAGAAACTGAGGTGGAGCGTGAGAACTTCTTGGCCCCAATAATAATAAAAGTTTTACCTTCCTTGTCTGTGTCCCGTTTGGGCCTTGGCCAGGGTGCACTACCTTGAACTTCAACCTCAGTCTTGCTATGAATCCAGACTTTGTCACCATACCCCAGCCTTGTCCCAACTCTGTCACTTTTCCCCGTGCCTTGGTTTTCTCATCTCTAAAATGGGCACCTGGGCCGCCATGAAGGTTAGATGCACTGGTGACTGTTAGGTTAATGCGAAGTAATTAGCCCCAGGAACGAAAGATTGTCCCTTGGGCGCCCTTTCAGGATTCTGAGGCTCCCTCTGGGCTGGTCTTGCAACTATACCACTTGCCCACACCCATTTCTCCCTGCCCTAGTGTCCCCTTGGAGCTCACCCCATCCCATCCCTCCCATCCCTGCACAGCTTCAGCCTTCTGCTTTGGAGGGAGCCACCAGGCATAGCTGAGGAGTTGTTCTTGTCTTCCGCACAGCACCTCCTCCGAGTGGCCTACCAGGACCCCAGCACAGGCTGCACCTCCAAAACCCTGGCTGTGCCCCCAGGGTCCTCAGTTGCCACCCTGAGCCAACTCTGTGCCACCAAGTTCCGAGTGACCCATCCTGACGCATTCGGCCTCTTCCTCTACAAGGACCAGGGCTACCACCGCCTGCCCCCTGAAGCCCTGGCCCAGGGGCTTCCTGCAACTGGCTACCTCATCTACCGCCGAGCAGAGAGGCCTGAGACCCAGGGGGCTGCAACAGAAAAGGCAAAGACAGGCAGTGAGAGGCAAGAGGCGGGAGCGTGGGAGGAGGAGAAAGGGGGCCTGAAGAGTGAGGGAGAGTCAGAGACAACTGGTGCCCGAGGAGGCGGGCACCAGGCCAGAGGAGCTCATGCACAACCAGAGGAGCAAAGGGTAGAGGGAAGCCAGGCTGCAGAAGAGTAGCCAGAAAGAGCCGAGAGGGTGACCTGGGCCTCCAGGAGCCTGAATCTGCCCTTCCCAGCTGCCAAGCTTCCTTCGCCACCCACACCCAGTTCTCTGTTGTGTCTGCCACCACCTCTGTCTGATCTTCATGAGTCCACCTTCTAGGAAACAGGGGCTGGACACATAGACTAGGGCAAAGTTAAGAGAGTTAGAAGACTCCAAGACCCTGTGTCCAAGGCCCCTGGCCTGTGTTCCTCCCGAGCCCACAGGGATAAATGTCCCTGGAAAGGGGCAAATTCATCTAATGGCCAACTCCAGCATAGGAGGAGGGTGTTCCTGGCTGCTTTTGCCTCTCCTGCTGCCCATGGGCACAGGGTGTGTTGCTGGAGTTTCCAGACCCTGAACAATCCTGGTCTCTCCTGGTTCCAAGAGCCAGGGCGGTGGTAGAATAATAGCCAAGGTCCCCAAGGGCTCTTCCTGGTTTGCGAAGAGGGGCGTGAGCACCCCAAGGGCTCTTCCTGGTCTGCAAAGAGGGGCGTGAGCACCCCAAGGGCTCTTCCTGGTCTGCGAAGAGGAGCATGAGCACTGTTTTGCAGGGCTTCTGGTGATCCAGGCCCCACGTGGATAGTTGGCAACAAAGACTGGGCAGGGGAAAGGGAGGAAAGGACAGGTGTTAGCGGCCACATCATTCCTTAGGGTCCTGGCCACACCAGGCAGGCCTCATCTGTGTCTTCTTCCTCAGTCAGTCCAGAGACTGCCCTGGAGGTCAGGTCACAAGAGAGAAAGCACCTATGTTCCGGCCGTTTTTCAAGATCAGAAGTCTAGTGAGGCACTTCAGTATTTCTGGGAAACTGGACCCTGAGAAGTAATTCCCACTAGCAGGAAGAGAAGTTTCCAGAAGAGAGGTGTTCCGCAAACATTGTCTTTGTACTCCTCTTTTGGGGCTCTTGCAAATGCCGGATCATAAGGCACAGCATATAGCTTGCAGGCCCTACTGCAGGTAATTCCCAAAATGTCTTAACAAACTATCCCCTCAAGGCCAGGGCTGCCAGAGGGAAGCCGCTGCAAATCTGAGCAGAGGAAAATCTCCACCAATAGCCACAAGAGGGCATGCACAGCCTAAGACGCTACAGAGGGTGACAACTCTCCCCACACCCACACCCACACCCACACCCCGGGTGTGTGTGTGTATGTGGGGATAAAGAGAATTTAAGAGCCATACAGTGTAGGCTGTCACTGGCCTTACACCCTTACAGTTATTGACAGCCTGGGAAATGCAGGGTGGAGCCCACTTGCAGTCAGAGATTTTTTTTTCGAGACAGGGTTTCTCTATTGTTTCGGAGGCTGTCCTGGAACTCACTTTGTAGACCAGGCTGGCCTCGAACTCACAAAGATCTGCCTGCCTCTGCCTCCTGAGTGCTGGGATTAAAGGCGTGCGCCACCATAGTCAGAGGTTATTAGGAAGAATTGCTTCCAGTCTCAGGCGCTCTCCTGACACCAGCACGAGGACACCAGCTCACATGTCACATTACAACAAAGAGGCAGAGGCGTGGACCCTGACTTTCCAATCCACATTTAGCCAGTGTAGGGCTCCAAAGTAGTCACTAGGCCACGAGTGTCCTTCCTTCCCCACTTTCATGCCTCCCTAGTAGGGGAGAGTGTGGGAGAAGGGGCAAGTCCATCTGGTGTCCCATATGGGGTGGAGGGGGAGGGTGTCCCAGCTCCTTGTGCCTCTCTACCACCCAGAGGCACAGACAGGGTTGCTGGGACTTCACAGCCCTGAGCAACATGGCCCTTTATTCCATGCTATGTCCTCCCTCCCCACAACGCTCTGTATAGGATGGAGTACTATCAGGTGCTCAATAAATGGTGTCCACTGACTGAAGCTTGGTAACTAGCAGTAAGGGACTGGGGTGGGGTAGGGTAGGGCAGGAAAGCTGTTTCTGGGAACGAGACACAGGACGTGTGGCGTGCGGTCCCAGGGGAAGGACCTGGAATGTCTGCAAAGGATGATCAGAGACCCCGTGGGCAGGATACGAAGCTGGTCCCATGGGAACCAGGTCTCTGGGACATCCACAGACCCTGCCTTTTGTGCACAGTTCTAATTCTGGGCTCAGTGTGGATCCAGCTACGGCTTAAAGAAGCACTTCTGGGTCCTGCCTGCTATCTGAACTTTTTTTTTTTTACTCTGATCACCTACCAATCCAGGCCAAGTCAGTATGAGCACAATTTGGGATCAATGGAAGACTAACCAAGCGGGGTTGGTGGTAAGATGACAGTCATACTGGTGTCTCCATCTTATTTTTTTCCTCCCAATGTCTCCATGTTACAAACAAGGAACCTGAGGCCTTCTTCAGGAAAGTGGCTTGTTACAGGACAGAAAACTCAACATATACCTTCCAGAGAGAATCATTTAATCATACTCCCAACAATCAAAGTCAGGCATCAGAGCACATCTGTAATCCCAGCACTCGGGGAGCTAAACAAGAGTGTGGAGTGAAGGGTTATCCTTGGCTACATAGTGGAAGCCAGTAAGACCCCATCTTTAAAAAAAAAAAAGGGTGTGTGGGTTTTGTGCTTTAGAGACAATTCCAAGTAACCGTGAACCGCTGCATTCCAGGGAACTCTACCATTCCTACCATCTTCTATGTCCTAGAAGTCAAGGCTCTGAGATGTGCTGTGCCTTGTCCGGTGACCACTGCTGCAGTGCAGGATGGGAACACTGGTTTGGGCGTCTCGAAAGCAGACATGTTATTTCCTTGCTTGACAATGTTGCATTTGCCATTTTAAAGTCAGGGCAGTTGCATGTGTGAGTTTGTTTATTATCTGTCTTCCCCAGTAGCATGCCAGAGCCATGCTGGCTTCTTCCCAGCAGGCCTTCAAGGACCTAGAACAATGCCTGGGCCGGAACTGGCACTTGTAAAGAAATATGTGGAGTGATGCAGAATGGCAGATCCGGGAAGACCTCACCGAACCCCGTCCTGTCTGTCTGCGGGGTGGCACATTCTCCACCACTTCTACCAAGGGGCATGCCGCATTTCAGCTGCACACTGGGCTCTTCTTCCCTGTTGCTATCCCATGGAATGAATACCCTACTGGAGACAGAAGACCACCAGGCATCGCTTGAAAGGGTGTCAGGAGTAGAGTAAGGAAAGGGCAGCCTGGGCCAGATACTAGGGTCCAACTGGGCCAGAACAGGGCCTGTGGGGTGGTCCGAGGGGTGGAGTGAATGGCAGTCATTATACTCACTCTGACCTGCCCTCCTTAGCATCCTACTGTGGCCCTATGACCAGTGTTCACACCCACAGTTTAGAGCACAGTGACACTGACCCACATTCCAATGCAAAGTGATACTGCTAGCCCAGTGGACACAACAGTGCCAGGCACTACCAAGGATAGCACAGCACAGACACCACTAGGACATACATGGGGATTGTGGACCCAGGCCTACCTGTGCAGAAGTGCCAACACATCTCCAGTACAGTTACATCCATGTTCTGGATGAATGTAACTACAGCTTCTGCTTCCTATTCTAAGCCCTGGAAATTAACACACACACACACACACACACACACACACACACACACACACACACACACACACACCACGTTTTAATACTTTGGAGCATGAACAGGAGGTCCAACCCCAATCTCCTAATATCTGGCCTACCCCCTCCTTCCCCGTGGGCCTCCTGAGGAAACTGAATTGCTGAGAAGACCCCTGCAAGGGTGTGGTGACCTCACGGGCTAGGCAAGAGCTGAGACAGACAGGCTGGGCGGGGCAGCCTGAGCTCATCAGATTCCAGCCTGATTCACAGGAGGAGCTGGAGGATGGAGGATGGGGACCGGCACTGGCCCAGGAGCTGGGGCTCTGGGGGCTTGAGTGGGCTTTGGATCCAAGTGTGGTGGTGGTGGCCCTTCCTGAAGGGTACCCCCTGGGTGAGACTTAGGCCCCTTTGCTGAACCGAGGATGAGACAATCAGCCCTGCCTTCCAGGCTGGGAAACACCCCTCCACCCCCGCCCCCTGCAACCTTCCTTGGCCTTAGCAGCTGGATGTCTTTAGCTGGGGAGGTGACCTTCACAGTCCATCTTGGATCCTCCAGGCTCAGGCTGGCAGTCTACTGGTGGACTCTTAAAGGTCGGGAAAAGCTAGACTTGCCTGGTCCCGTTGCATGGGGCTGACAGGGTTACAGACCCATGCTGCCCTGCCCTGCCAGGCAAAACCTCTGCCAGAAAGAGAGAATGCATGGGCTGCCCCCAGTGCCTCGGATGTTTTCTTGCTGAAACTGAGCCCTTTGCTCCTGCCATCCCCAGAATTCCTTGTGTTCCCAACTGAGGGATGCTTATAGGAGGTGGGGGGACCAAGCTGCCCAGACCAGCTGCAGGGCGACAGGAAGAAAGGATGGGGGCAGGGTGAGGGTACAGGAAGTGCCTTTCTTGGAACTCTGCACCAAAATAGCCCATTCCATCCCTACTCTGGGTCTGGTGTCCCACGGGGGAGGTGTGTGTCACCAAGGAGACCCTCACTGGGGAGGAGCATGGACTGACCTCAGTCTGGCTTTTGCTTGCCAGCCCCTTCCACCCCCACCGCAGCCTGGGTTCCACTTTGAAGTCCCAACGTAAATATCATGTCTGCTCGGGTTCTCCTTCCTGGCCTGGTCACACAGACCCCAGACCTGGCTTCCACCCCAGCCAGCCCCCAGGATACAGAGCAGGGAGAGAGGAGGGAGGCTAGACCACCCAGGGGTGGTGGCAGGATCGAGACACCGCTAAATAGATGGGGAGGGGTGGGAGGTGTAGAAGGGAGTTGGACGCAGAGACAGACCCCAGGCCAACAAGGGACACTTCTTAGTGCAGGAGACCCAGGAAGGCCAACATGAGAAATGGAGACCCCAGACAGAGGAAAAAGAGAAGAATTAGGCGGGACAGAGAGAGGCAGGGGTCCTGGGGGTGGTGAGGGGCAGGAAGAAGAGGAGTTGGAGAAAGAAGGGAAAGAGCCTCTGGAGAAGGTTCCAGAGCAGGGGTGTGGCAGAGGTCAGGGAGACTGGGAAAGGTCGTGGCTCAAACTAGTCCCTGTGACGGTGGGGCCGGTCACCTTGCTTGCCCAGGCCTGGGGTATGTGAGGTTGGGGTGAGATCCTAGGAGTGGGGACTGAAGTTAGAAAAGCCCTCAGCAAACTAGGCCAAGCTGATCCTCCCTTGAGCACAGAGCCTACACCCACAGGTGTCCTTGCACGGGCTTCAGAAGGGGCTGCCTGCACAACTCAGGCAGGGCTGGCCCTTCTTGCTGAGACACAGGTTCCAGGATTCCTTTTCTTGAGGGCAGATGTGGCCAGATGTTCAGGCCAGACATCTGCTAGGAGAGAGAACTGGACTCCCAGCTGGACCCAGACTGCACAGTCCACGAAGCCATTAGACTGCACAGTCCACGAAGCCATTTGCTTCACTCGCAGCTGTGGGCACAGGTGTAAATTTGCTGGGACACCCAGCTGTGCACATGTACAGCCATGCAAAGGCTGTGCAAATATATGTGTGTGCACATGCCCATGCTTGCAAACACATTGTCCTGCAACCACATGCATGCAAGCCCCCGCTCTACCCTCAGCTACCCCCAGCTGTCAGAATTCTTGGCTTCAGGGATGCTGAGGAGAGCCAACACCCCTTCTTCCCAGTTTGAGTTCTCCAACCCTCTGTCTCCCACCCATCCTGTCCCCAGCAGCATGACCCCCTCCCTGCAGGGCTCTCTTGCCAGAATCACAAAGGGTGTGGCCCCCATAGTGGGGAGGGGAGGAGGTGGAAAATGTACCCTTCCCTTCTCCACTGCTGCCCAGGGTAACCCTCTCCCACCTACCCACCTTGGCTCCCACCCAAGACTGGGTGCCTCCCACCCTGTTTCAGCCCTTCCTCCTGAGGCCTGAGAGCTGGGGTGGTTTGAGATGAGTTCAGACAGGGACTGAGGTGGGGGGTGGGGATGGAGAGAGACAAGGGAAGGAGGTGATTTGTACACAAAGCAATGTGCTGGCTCAGCGGACCAGCATGCCAAGGCTCTTCAGGATGGGGGCGCCCCCAAGCTCACCCGGTCCCCCCACCCAGCCGTTCCTTGGGGCCCCTCTCTGGGCCAGCCATTCTTTAGGCCACCTTCCCCCTTCCCCTCTGGGCCTACACATTGCATCCCAAATCATCTTCCTTTTGCTTTTCCTGGACAAGTTTTCCTGAGACTATGGGCTTCTGTTTCCATGCCCCTCATATGCAGAGCCACCCCCCGTGTGGACCACTATCACAACAGGAAGACCCAGCCTTCTGGCTCCCACTGTGAACAGAATTTGAGATGGTGCACCCTGTCACCCACCCACCCCTGGGCCAGCCAGGAAGATACACTGGCCTAAGGCCCCAGCGGAGCACAGCTGTGTGGGGATGTACCCCGGTTGTTTCTTTGCAGTGGTGACGCAAGCTGTCCCTGTCTTGGGCAGTTTCCTGCACGGTGTAGAGATCCAGTCTCAGCATGCCGTGCATGAAGCTGATTGGAAGTGAGAACTCAGGCAGCCTTTTTATATCCTGTATATGTCCTTTGCTTACATGCTGTACCTACCCATGCATCTAAATGTTTTATAAGCCAGGTGGTGAATACCTATAATCCCAGCACTTGATGGTGAAGACAGAAAGATACAAAATTCAAGGTCATCCTTGGCTGCATAGTAAGTTTGAAATTAGCCTGGGATACATGAGACTTTTTTCTAAAAAAAATCCACATATACATCTACCTGCCTATCTGCCTTATCCACTTACCATACGTACATATAAACATACACACATACATGCATTGGCCTATCCATCTGCCCAACTCCTTCCTCCATTCCTCCCTTCCTCCCATCCTTGTTTTC